CCGAGCAGTTTCGGATTCTCGGGCGGGAGCGGGCGGCAAAAACAGGGTTAGTTTAAACCGCTGTTAAATCTTTTTTTTTTTTTAAACCTTTTGCCTATATCTACTGCTTGATAGCAGTAGATATAGGCAAACAAAACGGTGGGTTTAGAAACCCTTTAACTAGGTTTAGCACTAGTCATCATGTGAGAATACACATATTTATTGTGCAATGATGTAATCAGTGGTGTATTTTGGTTTTGTGCTGCCCCAGACAAGACTAAACCTGAGCACCCCCCATCCCTAATCTAAATTAGTCCCACCCCTTCCTATTTAAGACATTTTGCATAACCTGTCAGTCGCGGGATACAGCGAGCACGGTGTATCTATATTCTGACAGGTTGCGCTATCAACGTAGCGGGACGCTCTAGTTCTACCTTTGCAATAGCCACCTTCTCCATTCCTGGCATGATGGGCTCCCTAGATCTGCAGCTACAATAACCATTCTCTCCTGCCCGCCCGGCTGTGCTAGTCTCTAGTTTTGCAGCTGCAACACCGATCTTCTGCCTTAATATGGCCCTCTAATTCTGCAGTTACCAATCTTCTGCCTTGGCTGCTGGGCTTCACGTGGCTTATAGGCTGCACTTCCCCGGACTCACAACCATGGAGGTGCCGATGAGCACCATGACCATCTGGATCTCAGCCCTGGGGTCCTGCGGAAGCTCCTCCGCTACCTGAAGTCAGAGATTTGGGTGCCGGTTTCCCAGGGAGGTCCGGCGCATGAACTGCCAGTGCATCCGGATGAAAGTCACACACACCAATACATTGCACAGCATGTTGACCAGGAAGAGGAAGGAGCTGCAGCCAGCATATATGTTGGAGTAGGCTGCATAGGTGGACATGTTGGTCCCCCAGTCAAAGAAGCACTAGGTCCAGGAGTACTGGCAGTAATATATGAAAAATTTATAATTTTTTTTTCTCTTACCTAACTGGTTTGGGGGCAGCATTTTTTGGCGCCCCCCTGGAAAGTGCCGCCCTAGGCAAATGCCTAGTTTGCCTTGCAGTAGATACACCCCTGTATGTAATATTACAGTGTAACATGTTAATTTTTGTTGCAGAAACAAGCCAATGATCTTGTAAATACCCTGATGAAATGTACACCTCATTATATTCGTTGCATCAAGCCAAATGAGACCAAGAGGTCTAAAGACTGGGAAGAGAGCAGGTATGAGGAAACAGGCTGTTAGTTGTGGAAAGTTAGTCTTGGCTCAAAATTATCAGGCTTATATTTATTAGCAGGCCTCCTATGCCCAGGATTGGGCTTAGAGTATTGGCATATGTGCCCTATATGGCACACTTGCCTGTCTCTGATGATTTCGTAAAGTTTGTTGTGTTTGTGGACAGAGCATAACTGCATTGTTAACTGCATTTAAAAAAAGGGTCCAGAAGTACTTTGTTTCTGAGCCTCCTAGATATGAGGTGACCTATGCTCGATCCTGCCATTTTTGCTGGATCAAGAACTGATATAATTACTTTGGGACCCCTGGAGGACTGCGGCAAGATATAAAGCTAGAGTAACAAACAAAAGCTAAATAGAAAATCTGCCCAATCGTTATCATTCCTCCCACTGATTATTCACTGCAAGCTGGGCCAAGCCAAGGGTTGCACTACCATCCTCCCTAGGCATTTGCATCATGAAATTAAAGGTTTATTATCCTTGCAAAAACAATGCCTGTTCTGTAACATAAAATCAAAAGACCTAGTACACACATAAAATTCAGAATAGGTTTGTGTTACTTTGCTGTGCATTGTTTTTGTTGCTTTGTGTTGTTCTCATTAGCAACATTTAGCAGGTGTTTGCAACTTGCAAAATTGCCTCATTTCAATTAAATGCTAGCTTGCCCACAGTGCCTGCCAAATGTGCCTTATATTCCCATAAGGTGGGCAGCCAAGTGAATAACCGACCCGAAGTGAAACGGCTGATTTCAGACGTACACCGACTACAATCAGCCGTACATCGGCTTGCTGCGGCTGGCTTTGGGTCGGCCCAACATGCTCAGCATGTTGGGCCAACCCGAAGTGCAGAAGGAGTTCAACTCAGCCGATCCAGCCGAGCGGCATTCGGCTGGGCTATTCTGCTCAGTACCTCTGTGGTACCAAGCAGAATAGAAAAACAGTTAAAAAAGTAAAATAAAGTCGAAAATGATTGGGCGGAGCTAGCAGTTACAGCTAGCTCCACCCAACTGTTTTCTATTGGCCAGGCAGTTCTGCTGCCGTCAGAATAAACAAAAAAAACACCATAGGAATACATAGCTAGATTCCTATTGGCTATTGCAAATTGAAATAGGCAATAGGAATGTAGCTATGCATTCCTATGCTTTTTTTTCTATTATTCTGAGGGCAGCCAACGGCTCCGATGTCAGAAGAAAAAGAAAAAAAGACAACAGAGAAGGGAAAGGTTTACTCTGCTCGGTTGTGCAGAGTAAAACTTTCCAGGAGAAAGTGTTTCTCTCCCGGGCGGCCGGGAGCCGCTATCTGATAGCAGGAGACTGCCGGAGTGTCTGGGAGAGTTGGGCTGTCTGTAGATCAGCGTCCCTGGTTACCTGGATCTGTCTGTGCAAGTGGCCAGAGACTGCCGTGAGATGACAGCTGGCTGCGCCCAGCAGTCAGTAGCAGGCTGTCGGCGGGCCAGCTTCCACCTCGGCTCAGTGGAGAAGAAGCACATGCCTTAGGCTCGACTGAGCCCCTCGGCCAACTTCGGGAGCTGTACGGGCTATAGTGAACCGAAGGTGTCTGGTGGTCGAAGCTAGCCAAAGGATCAGCCAAGCTACGGCTAGATCCTTCGGCAGCTTTGTGAATAGACCCCTTAGAGATTAATAGGGGAAAGCACTATAGGAGGGCTCCTATACCGGTGGCTTAGAGGTTGTTGAGAGAGACATTTTCAGAGTTCAATGTATGGAGCAGATGTCTGAAAGCACTGAGTAGTACAATACTAAAGAGAATATAACTGCAAGTAACAACTTTGACAAAGGTGGTTAAGCAGTTTAAGAAAATGATTCATTGGAACTTATTTTCCCAGGTGGAAATAGCGGGATAAATTGAATTGTATTGCTGAAAAGAGATTGTACTGTAAGGAAGAGCGTGTAAATTGACATAGGTCATTACATTAGCAAAGCATTTTGAGAAGGCAAGCCTCCAAAGTGTTTTGAGTAAGGCAGCGATGAGCAAAAAACTTTAACTGGTCCCTACCTCTATCATCTCTATCTTATACAGAATGCTAATTGCTTTCATATTTGTCATCTCAAATTATATGTAAATTTATTGTATCCACATTTATTTGCCAAATAATACCTCTACCTGTATAAATCACCATGAAGCCAGACAGTGCTGGGCCCCTTGTACCTTGGATCTGTAGGGCAGGGAGATATTCTGTAGGTTATTTTAAAGTTGAACAGGGATGCCTAGAGAAACAGTAACATACAGTGCATTATGCTGTTGTGGTGGCCTAGTGATACCAGTAGCATACATTAAGCTTTTGAGATACATGTGGCATAAAAAAGGTTGCGGTGTTGGCATAGAGATACCAGCAGCATAGATTAAGCTGTAGTGGTGGCCTAGAAATACCAGTAACATACATTTAGCTGTAGTGGTGGCCTAGAAATACCAGTAACATACATTTAGCTGTAGTGGTGGCCTAGAAATACCAGTAACATACATTTAGCTGTAGTGGTGGCCTAGAAATACCAGTAACATACATTTAGCTGTGGTGGTGACCTATAGATACCAGTTGCATACATTAAGCTGTGGTGGCGGCCTAGGGATACCAGTAGCATACATTAAGCTGTGGTGGCTTAGAGATACCAGTAGCAGAAAAAAAAGCTGTGAAAATGACTAAAGTGGTTATTTTGTGTTTTGCAGAGTCAAACATCAAGTTGAATATCTAGGCCTAAAGGAGAACATTCGTGTACGTCGTGCTGGTTTTGCTTACAGAAGGGTTTTCAATAAATTTCTTCTCAGGTATAACATGCATTACCTCATTTACAGTTCATTGCTACAATTTCTGATATTTATAAAATATTAATGATTATATACCATTACCAGATACGCTATTCTGACACAGGAAACATGGCCCAAATGGCGAGGAGATGAACGGCAAGGAGTGCAGCATCTCTTAAGGTCTGTAAATATGGATGCTGATCAGTACCAAATGGGAAGAACCAAGGTGTTTGTAAAGAATCCAGAATCGGTAGGTTTTCTGAATACCCAACATCTGTGTGACATATGGTTATTGTATTTTCTAGTAGAATAACACAAATAAGCTATGTTTTTATAGTACTACACAGTACACAGTACACAGTACTGATTATATATATATATTATAGTCAGATGTTACTCCAGATTTAAAATTCAACCGGAAAAAGCTGTTAATATACTTGTGTTTGGCTTTAGATTGCTATTTCCCTGTCACATGAATAATAATAGTAAATATCGTGTCCATGTGACTATCAAATGGTGTTTGCTTTTACTGGAATACAGAGGACAGGTACTGGGTGATGCTGAACAGTCATAGCATGCAAGCATTGTAACATAGTATCATCCCATATAGAGTGGTAATGGTCTACTACAGGAACTAAAGCTGGGTATACATGGTTAGAACTTTGTGTGAATGGTTGTATAAAAAAAGTCATTAGAATATTCAATAATGCCATCAAAGACTTGACGAATCTTGTTCAAAATTGTTGTTTGGATTTAACATTCAGGGGTCTATTCACTAAGCTGCCAAAGGATCTAGCCGTAGCTTCGGCTGATCCTTCAGCTAGCTTCGGCCCCAGGACCCCTTCGATTAAGTAGAACCGAAGGGCTGCTGTACGGGCTATTCACTATAGCCCTACAGCTCCCGAGGTTGGCGGAGCGGCTCAGTCGAGCCGAAGGCATATGCCTCGGCGCGACTGAGCCGAGGTGAAAGCCGAAGCTGGCCGAACTGATAGCTGGGCGGAGCCAGCCGTCATCTCACGGCTGGCTCCGGCCACTTGCCGAGAGATCAGCGTCCCTGGTTACCTGGTAAAACATAAAATTGTTTTTGTGATGGGAGTAATTACTCTCCCGGACGCTCTGGGAGTCTCCCGCTATTAGGTAGCGGCTCCCGTTCGCCCGGGAGAGAAACACGTTCTCCTGGAGAGGTTTACTCTGCTCGATCGAGCAGAGTAAACCTTTCCCTGCTCTGTTTTTTTTTTCTGATGCCGCCGCTGGCCGCCGTCAGTCGGAAAAAAAAGAAAACAGCATAGGAATGCATAGCTACATTACTATTGGCTAATTCACTTTGCAATAGCCAATAGCAAACTAGCTATTGCACCCACCCACTGCTGTTTTTTTTTTCTGATGCCGCCGCTGGCCGCCGTCAGTCGGAAAAAAAAGAAAACAGCATAGGAATGCATAGCTAGATTCCTATTGGCTATTTCACTTTGCAATAGCCAAACTAGCTATTGCACCCGCCCACTGTTGCTGTCAATTAGCAGAGGGGGACCTGAAGTTCTCCATCAGGTCCCCTTCTAGTGATTGACAGCAGCAGAGGGCGGGTGCAATAGTTAGTTTTCTATTGGCATCTATGAGAATAGGCCGAACAGCAGCGAGTAGCCTGCCGGAGGTTCGGCTTAGCCGATTCATATGTTGGATCGGCTGAGTCGAACTCCTTCTGCAGCATGTTCGGCCGACCTGAAGCCACACAAAGCAAGCTGATGTACAGCTGATTTCAGCCGATATACAGCTGAAATCAGCCATACAAGCCTGAAGTGAATAGCCGAACAGCGTTCGGCTCACTTGACTTCGGGTCGGTTATTCACTTGGCTGCCTACAACCCCTAAATGTTTGTATTTCCCATCACTTTCTTTTGCAAAAACAATGGTCACCAATACAGAGAGAAGGGTGATTCTCCACAATGTGCACACAGACAGCAATAAAAACCTGACAGAGGGTCTATCCCTTGCCCACTCTATCCAAAAACTAAAAAAAAAAAAGTACAGTTTAATGGCTATAACAACGGGTATAACTTTTTAAGAGTTAACAGAAATATGGGGTAATTGCTCTAAAAGCTCCCCCTACTAGCTAATCTATAAAAAAAAATATTTTGTATAATAAATAGGGAAGTTAACTTTTTCTTTACTCTTCCCTTTATTTAACCTTGTCTTGTTGTTCCTAATTGTCATATGTCTAAGTGTCACCCTATCAGAGTTGTTATTTAAATGCCGTAAATTATGTTTATAGGTAGGTAATGCTTGTGAGATTATTTCTTAAAAACTTTAATAAAAAGAAAAATGTCAGAGTTTTATAAAAATACTTTTCTTTAAATACATTTGGGGGCGATTTAGGTGATGAATGCACTTTTTTCCTGACCATTGGCAACCATATACTATGTCTGAATTTGGGTAAAAGTGCAGCGAATTTGTTTACAAACATTAAGAATATACATTTCCAATGATTCCCAAAAAACTGTATTATACTGTAAGTCAATGATTTTGTATAACAACAAGGAAAAAGTTAATTTAGCACAATAACTAGAAATGGTGCAGCCTAAGAAATGTCATCTAATAACACATACTACCTGCACAGCTTTTCTTACTAGAGGAAATGAGAGAGAGAAAATTTGATACATTCGCTAGAACCATCCAGAAAGCTTGGAGACGATACATTGCTAAGAGAAAGTATGAGCAAATGAGAGAAGAAGGTAAGGAGAACATATGTATTTTAATTTGCTGCTTTTGGTACACCAAATAAATAAATACATGTTTGTATATAAACAACCTATTCCACCTACAGAATGCCCCTTTATTTATTTTACAGAAGAAACCCGAAAGGGCATATTTATAAAACAGTGAATCTGAGATTCACAAACATTTATTGCAGGTGAACTTACCTACAGTATAATACTCTAATTCAGACATGTTTCTCGATGTTTGTTCCATGCAAAAACATCTGTTGGAACTTTATTTTCATTAAATAAATCATTAATTCCTACAAATGTAAAGAGTAAAAACATTTGCAAACTTTTGTGTGCTTCTCTGTCCGCAAAGTAGACCAAGGGAAAGGATTGGCTAAATTGTTTACAAAGAGTTACAAAGAGTTTGTAGTTTTCTATTTTCTTACATATTCGTTTCATGAATGCTCTAGAAACATTTGGTGAACTGAGCAGGCCTAATGAAACTTCTAGTCAGCAAACTTAGCACAGCTAATTTCAGTTTAGCGGGATATATCTCTGGGGAAGAACATCTGGGACAATCCAATGGAACATCAGACACCATCTAAGGAAATAAAAACCCTGCAGATTGGAAGGATAGGTCCCTATTGTAATATGTAAAAAAAAATAACATACAGGGTTGCTGCACTTTCTATAGGACAACACACATTTTAAGCACACTCCCGTAGGACCAGAATTCTTGTGAAGCTTACCACATAAGAATTTTTGCTGACAATATAAGTAGTCTCAGATAGTGGGGAAGCATGAACAGGAGGGGTGACAACTACTGGGAGTGCTGCTGGACAATCCAACACCTTGTGTTCTGACATCAGTCCCAGGGAGATGGCCGGCAGGTGATGGCAGGCAACATGCTCTGAGAGAACAATCAAGTAAAGCATGAAAAATGTATACATTAAGTTCAATAACCGATGGATAAGGAACCGAAAACTGAGTGTTAAAGACTGGTTACCAATGAACTGTGGCAAAGGAAAGTTGGATTTCAGCAATTAGTAGAAGTTTGGCAGTGAAAGCGTTCACTCACCAGCCTTCTCTCCAAGACGTTTCATAGTGTAGACTATTTGGTGTGAGCTCAGCCAGGAAGTTGGGAGTTGGCTATCAACAGCACAACTACAGAAAATGTTTCACTGGTATGCAAGTTACAGATATCATGCTCTTGCAGAGTGTATATGGGGCCCCTGCTAAAGCAAGAAATCCCTTTCATTCCTTCCACGTCATGACCCATCTGCCAGCTTCCTGATTGGCTAGAAAGCTGGCTTCACTTATTGCTAGACAGCCTGGCTTCCTAACTAATCAGAAATCTGGGAGGCGAGTCATTATGTCTCCCTTTGACCGGAAGTTCCGGTATTGGAGGTAAGTATCGAAGCATTTGGGCGTGTATGGGTACTCGCCCAAATACTCTGTATCTGCACGGATACCTATACTAGTATTGGTATCGGTGCATCCCTAGTTTCAACCACAGTTTTAGGGATTTACAAAACACCAATAGCCATTTGCAGGATAGGGAATACATATCTCTAACACATTCTTAAGTGTATACATCTTAAAGTAGAACTGTGGGCAGACTGTGGACATCCAAATATTTACATATTCTTGACAAGCATTAAATAACCTTTAAGCATCCAATTCAGAATTAAGAATCCAATGTAAATTACATGGGGAAGGTGCAAAAGGTGTGAGTGGCAGCTATTGCCGCATAAATTAAGAGTTAGCTTGAATTCAACAATGCAATAAAAACAATGAAGTATTTTAGTCACGGTTTATAAGAGATTCAAAATAAAAGGTAATTTAAAGATTCATTTCATGATTTGTGTTGTTTATTAACCACTTCCGGGCCGCAATACGTCTATAGACGGCGGCCCGTTAAAGTGGTTAAAACAAGAACATGGCTGCTGCAGCAGCCATTGTTCTTGGTACCGCTTTTAACAGCAGGCGATTGCTGTTAATGTACAAGCCGCCGGATCGTCGTCGTCGTCGCCCCCCCTCCCCCACCCCCCCGCGCGCGACCGTCGTTGGCTTCCCTGGGCAACTATTTCCCCTTAGGACAACACACATTTTAAGCACACTCCCGTAGGACCAGAATTCTTGTGAAGCTTACCACATAAGAATTTTTGCTGACAATATAAGTAGTCTCAGATAGTGGGGAAGCATGAACAGGAGGGGTGACAACTACTGGGAGTGCTGCTGGACAATCCAACACCTTGTGTTCTGACATCAGTCCCAGGGAGATGGCCGGCAGGTGATGGCAGGCAACATGCTCTGAGAGAACAATCAAGTAAAGCATGAAAAATGTATACATTAAGTTCAATAACCGATGGATAAGGAACCGAAAACTGAGTGTTAAAGACTGGTTACCAATGAACTGTGGCAAAGGAAAGTTGGATTTCAGCAATTAGTAGAAGTTTGGCAGTGAAAGCGTTCACTCACCAGCCTTCTCTCCAAGACGTTTCATAGTGTAGACTATTTGGTGTGAGCTCAGCCAGGAAGTTGGGAGTTGGCTATCAACAGCACAACTACAGAAAATGTTTCACTGGTATGCAAGTTACAGATATCATGCTCTTGCAGAGTGTATATGGGGCCCCTGCTAAAGCAAGAAATCCCTTTCATTCCTTCCACGTCATGACCCATCTGCCAGCTTCCTGATTGGCTAGAAAGCTGGCTTCACTTATTGCTAGACAGCCTGGCTTCCTAACTAATCAGAAATCTGGGAGGCGAGTCATTATGTCTCCCTTTGACCGGAAGTTCCGGTATTGGAGGTAAGTATCGAAGCATTTGGGCGTGTATGGGTACTCGCCCAAATACTCTGTATCTGCACGGATACCTATACTAGTATTGGTATCGGTGCATCCCTAGTTTCAACCACAGTTTTAGGGATTTACAAAACACCAATAGCCATTTGCAGGATAGGGAATACATATCTCTAACACATTCTTAAGTGTATACATCTTAAAGTAGAACTGTGGGCAGACTGTGGACATCCAAATATTTACATATTCTTGACAAGCATTAAATAACCTTTAAGCATCCAATTCAGAATTAAGAATCCAATGTAAATTACATGGGGAAGGTGCAAAAGGTGTGAGTGGCAGCTATTGCCGCATAAATTAAGAGTTAGCTTGAATTCAACAATGCAATAAAAACAATGAAGTATTTTAGTCACGGTTTATAAGAGATTCAAAATAAAAGGTAATTTAAAGATTCATTTCATGATTTGTGTTGTTTATTAACCACTTCCGGGCCGCAATACGTCTATAGACGGCGGCCCGTTAAAGTGGTTAAAACAAGAACATGGCTGCTGCAGCAGCCATTGTTCTTGGTACCGCTTTTAACAGAAGGCGATTGCTGTTAATGTACAAACCGCCGGATCGCCGTCGCTGTCGC